TTTATGTTTGTTTAAAATTATACAGAAACGCTGGGACTGAAGGGACAGCCCTCTGTTTTATAAAGGTCAATACTAAGATGTTTGACTGCCTTAAAGATTAGCATCTTTAAACAAAAAAATTTAATGCAGAGAATTTGTAGTCTCCAGGCTCTAGATACAATTCTTCGCACTCCCTGGATACCAGTCGGTAAGGGTTTAGGAGCCAGAGAGATAGTAGGGTGAGCACATGCTTTGTGTGTGGGAGGTTCAATCCCTCACACAACAGGGTTCCCTGAGCACTACCAGGAACAGTCCTAGAAATTGTTCCCAAACATTGCCAGGTGTGACACAAAAGGTGCACCTCTCAAAAAAAGTTTTAATACCTTGGTTGTTTTCAATAAGGTTTGATGTTCTCCTGTAGACCTCTGTGGCATCATCCTAAGCAGCATGCTTATAGCACAAGTTCTCGTGGGATATAATAAGTAATAACATTAATTCAGTATTCTAGAGCTAACAAAGAGATGAGTACACTATATTACTTTACGTTGGCAAGAATTCTATAAGATAAATAATATTGCCATTTTATAAATGAGGAAATGTTAATCTGAAAATTGACCTGTTCAGTGGCTCGTCAAATATCAGGGCACTACACAGCTATGCTCTGCATTTGGATCCAGTACCCTCACTCCCAGTTCAGGACCTACCATAAATACTTATCTTTTGATCTCTGTAAAATATATTAGCTGATTAACCCCAGAGCAGATGTTCTTCATAACCTTCATGAAAAGAGAATAACTACTTCAGGGCAAGTCCTCTGATGCTAGTTCCTGAAGAAAACTTGAGTTGCAACTTGATAGTTCTGATACTTTGAATGACTTGGGCAATCTAGACATTTCATATACCGCTTGAGAAAACCTGAATAAATAAATATACAGCTTGCTTTTGCCTCATGCTTTGTTTTCATCAAAGAAAGCACACAGGAAAATAGAAGACAGCCTCCTTATTTCTTCCTGCCAACAGCTTTTTAAATACATAACAGTATTTGGGGGTCTAAGGAATCTATAAAAACATCTGCATTTTCTCAATATGCAAGACAGTAACAGAATCTTGATGTCTAATGAAGTACCTAACGGTCACATGTTGCTATTTACATTTAAATTGAAATTAATCAAGACAACTTAAAAAATTCAGTTCCCTAGTTACACTGACTATATTTCATATGCCATACTTCATCAGTCATACATGGCCAATGCCTGCCATATTGGATGGCACCAACAGAGAACATTTCCATCAGTGTAGAAACTTCTTCTGGATGGTATTGTCATCAATTCTACTCTATGCAGATGAATTCAAGGATAAAAATATGTATTTCTAGTTTCTTACAAGGTCAAGCTATTGTACACCGAAGCATTCCTGCACCTCTTGGCAAGTGAGCTCTGGAGTGGATGGGGAGAGTAGAAACAGGCATGAAGCAATACTGCAAAGAAAGAGATGTTTCCACAAAACCTTGCCACCCAGCTGACATCCACGGTCAGCCTCTTTCTTTATGCAACTTGGTTTGCCACCAAAATGCTATTATTTGTGTGTAGTGTATATGGCAACCATGTCTGTTTTATAGCACTGATAGAATCTATGATTTTTGGTATATTATTTCTAGAGGCTCAGAGGATGAGAATAGGCAAGTCATAAAACAAAATTGTATGGGAAGATCCTATCCACAAGTGAAGATCTATCCACCAACAATAGGATTTGGAATTCCTTATTTGTTCACTCTAATATTTTGGATTGTAAATTTGACTTTATTCATTTACAATCATGTCTAAATTAGACCTTGATAATGTGGACTGGGAAGATTGAACAAAACTCAAAACATGAGATCTAAGTTGTAACCACTGAAACTTTGTTAACGTGCCTGCAGAGTTGACAGGAGATGGGTTGGGAGTTCAGGAGGAAAGGGAATCTAGGAACGCTAGTGAAGGGAAGCTGACGCTGATGGTGGGATTGGTGTTGAAATGTGTGCCTAAAACTCATCAATAACTTTATAAATCATGGTTCTTTAATAAAAAAAGAATTCAATAATTTAAAAAATCGAACTGATTTATTCTCCTCTCCTGTCATGGAAAGCAAGAAGGGTTCCAAAGGAGTTCAGGGTCTCTTCCTGTCTGCTCTTAGTGAACCTGATTTACTCTGCCCAGCTGACCCTTCCTTAAATACTTTTCAAAAGACAAAAATTTAAAAACTCATCAATGCTTTTGGAGAGGGAGCATAAGGATAGGAAAGCCATGCTTGGTAGTGTTCAGGGCTACTCCTAACTCAGTACTCAGGGGACCATGGGGTCTTAGGCCTTCTAATACCAAGCCTGGGCCTCCTTCATGCAAGATATGTTCTCTGCCCTTTGAGTTCTCTCCCTATCTTAATTAAGGCAAAGATTTAGGTTTGAGTTTAGAGTAGAAGGTGGAATGCTCCAATAAAAAGATAATGGGAGGCATATAAAGTAATTTTACATTTTCCAGTGACCACATTAAATTAAAAGCAAGAGGTGAAGTCAATTATAGTACATTTTATTTATTCCAACATATCATTTTGATAAGAAAAAGTATTTAAATGACTGATTAGAACATTTGCAGTCTTAAATATTAAGAACATCAAATCTGGTGTATATCTTTCACTTCCAGCTCATATCAAGTAAGACTAACCACATCACACACACTCAGTAGCTACTTGTGGAGGGTGAATGCCCTACCAGACCATGTACATCTCTCAGAATTTAGCTTTTTACAGAATTGACTTCTCTGGGGCTGGAGCGATAGCACAGTGGAAAGGCGTTTGCCTTGCATGCAGCCAACATGGCGGACTCGAGTTCGATTCCTCTGCCCCTCTCGGAGAGTCCAGCAAGCTACCGAGAGTATCTCGCCCGCATGGCAGAGCCTGGCAAGCTACCCGTGACGTACTCAATATGCCAAAAACAGCAACAACAAGTCTCATGATGGAGACATTACTGGACCCGCTCGAGCAAATCGATGAACAACGGGAAGACCGTGACCGTGACTTCTCTGATTCACCAAACAAAATCTCATTCAATGAACTCTACTTTAAAATTGATTTTCTGTGAAATTCAGTTTCTCTTTAGTAACCTGACCCATTGACAACATCTATGGGACCTTTTATACATTTATAACAATCCAAATAGCACCACATGTATGGACCAAGATCCATGACGACGTTAAATAAAATCTGACTCTCAGTCCAGCTTGAGCCTAATTGCATCACCTCCAAATAAAAACCACCCCATTACATCATCACATTTTAGTTCATTACCAAGTCATGATTGTGTACTACTCCCAGTTAGATTGCATTTGTTTTACAAGAAAAATTCTGTGAGCAGCAATGAAAAAGAATAGTATTGTATATCTTATCTACTTTAACTGCATCATCTGTTTAGTAGAAAAATTGAAAAACTTAAAAGTTTATAATGAGTAATAGTAAACGAGTTGTCTCCTTCCTCAAGCAGCCTAATTTTTAGAGAGCAGGGCAGTAATTTACTTGAACCATTAACAAAAGACAGCCCTGTTTCACGTGTTATCAGTACCATTGCCCATGGAGCCTATCAGCCGTCTTCAAATCCACCTCCTCCCTCAGTTCCTCTCAGAGAGGCAGAGGGAGGGTGGAAACCTGAATCCAGAAATGAGCAGCTCAGATACCATCCGAAAACTGACGAACAGTTTAAGGATTCAGAGCAGCTAGCTCAAAGCTGCTCTGCTCTAAACCTTTCTTTTGCCGTTTGAAAAATTCCTGATTATCATAATCAAGATTTCCCTTTTGTTGGGAAAGATTTGGGGGGTAGTTTTGGGGGTCACACGTGGAGGGGGGACATGAAGTAGGTACCTGGGATTGAAAATGAGGTGCCTGAAATTGATCCCAGTATTCCTGGCAAATGTAAAACACGAATTCCAGCCCTATCTCCCCAAACCCTGGTGGGAAAAATTCTTTTTTCAAAGGTTTAGCATGAATTTATAGAGAAAAAGTATAGCATGGCCCAAGGCTAACAAGAAACTGTGTGATTGGAGATGCCCCCATTTGTGTAGACTTCTCCTGACACATCAGAGAAACTGAATTTAACAGAAAATCAGTTTTAAGGTAGGGTTCTATATAGGTCCATGTCTGGGCAACAACAATATCTAGGAAAGCATTCCTGCATTTTTCCCAGAGAATCAAGTCCAAAGTCTCATTGACACCCTTGGTGCTTAGTTCTTCCTAAAAGGGCCTCATCTCTCAACTTCAGTTACAACACACTGTAGACAAAAGCTGCTCTCACCACACCACCCTCACTGTTCACTCTTCCTGAGCACCACCTGTCCTGCCAGGCCCGTGGTCACCATAAATAAAAGCCTACCTGACTGCCCCCGCCATCCCAATGGAAACTAATCAAAGACCTAGATCTTATACTTTTATCACTTCATTCTTTTCTCATCTCAGCGTGGCTGCACTTTACTGACTGTTCTGAAAGAGTCATCACCACAAAATAGTCATCCTCAAATCCCAGGCTAACACCCCACCGACACCACACTTTATTCCTAAAACTGTCCTAAAATGGAGTGCTGATTGTTGGTGACAACGACTGTGGGAAATGGCATGAGCCTTGCACAGCCATCGCACCATCGTCAATACCCACCACAAAACTCTGGAGCCTCAAGCCCTCTCTAGTGCTATTTGGAGAAATGCTTTTCTCGAAGCAATGAAATCTGCTCAAACTGCCCAATTCCAAACAAGATCGAGTTTTTCTGAACGATGTATTCATGATCCAGCTCCAGGTTACTCACCCCTGGTGTGTTGAAATGAAGGGGAAGGGAACTTGAAAAGAGAGAAGTGCGTGCTATTGACAGGCACACACGTGCATGCATGCATATGTACCCTTCCACGGAATGTGCAGATGGGCAGTAGTGACAAAGAGTGCAGACACTTAGGAACCCATTTGTGACAGCAAAGACAGGCGGGCATGTCCCAGGAGATCCCTCTGGGAGTTAACTAGTCTCTACCAGGAAGCTGGAGTTCCCCAGGCTTCTGTAACTCAGGACGTTGAAGTAGTCGTGTAGATCAGCATAGTTCTCATCCCCCTGCTCTCTGCAGGGGCTGTCAGGGGCCCAGGTTCCAGGGATTGAAGGAATGCTGGGGTTCCAAGCCTCATGTTCAGATGCCGTCCTCTTGAGATCATTTCCTGCAGAATGGGTTCCGCATAGCTTGTTCTAAAAAACAAACAAACTCCAGAGTGAGAATGTGAGTATGTCATTCAAAGATGGTTTTGCTTTACATGTGGAAGCCCCATATTTGATCCTCAATACCACATCATCCCCTGAGAACTATAGAGAGCAGCCCCCAAGCACTGAGCTGGGAGCAGCCCCAAGCACTGAGCTGAGAGTAGCTCCCAAAACTGTCAGCTGTGGCCATGAAACAAAAACAGCTGCCTCCCTGCATGACACATGTTCATAGTGATCTCCTTTGATTTCTTTCTCTATGTCACACACACACAGAGAAGCATAGTTTTGTTCTCACAAAGCACTAATTTCTTATTCCTTAGTTTCTCTACTTGTCCAACTAGATTTCAATACTAATTATTCTGCTGAAAACACTTGCTACACTCGAAGGGGAGAAGGCAGCTGGACTAGAGAAGAGATCACTAAGAAAACGATGGCTGGAATGTGTGCAGATGGGAGATGTGTTCAGAAAGTAGATAAAGGACCGAACATGATGGCTTCTCAGTAGCTATATAGCAAAACAATCCCCCAAAGTAGCGAAAGAGTACGGGGAAAGTTGTCTGCCATGGAAGCAGGGGGAGGGTGGGAAACGGGGAGGTATACTGGGGATATTGGTGGTGGGGAATGTGCACTGGTGGAGGGATGGATGTTTGATCATTGTGTGATTGTAACCCAAACATGAAAACTTGTAACTATCTCACAGTGATTCAATAAAATTTTTAAAAAGAAAGAAAGAAAGAAAGAAAGAAAGAAAGAAAGACTTGCTTCATTTGCAATGTGCCCACGGTTTACTCCTTCCTTTACAACCCAGAGACACTTCACTGAGGACCATTCTTTTTTGTCCTTTATCTCTTTATTTGACTCTGTGGACTCCTTCCTGTGTGAAATGTTCTTCACTGGGTGCCATGGCATCACTCTCCTGGTTCTCCTCCTTGGCTCCTATTATCTCCTATCTCCTGACTCCCACTTACCACTCTAGTCCAAATCTGACATAGGTACTGGCAAAAACCAAAACTTCCTAAGTGAGAGTAGGGTCCTGCCATGCTTCTGCTTAAATCTTTCAGTGACTTTCCTCGTTTATGGTCAGGGTTTAATCTCCTAGGAGACCCAGTAAGCACCTCAAGGGATTGGAAAATCCTTTAAGTCATTATACAAAACTATCAAAAAAAAGGGAACAGAGAGATAGCACAGCAATAGGTAAAGTACTTGCGTTGCATGCATCTAACATGATTCTGATCCCTGGCACTACATATAGTGCCCTGGGCCCAGCTAAGTGTGGTCACTATCAAATAAGGCTGAATTCTCATGAGAAGGAATTCCATAATTTCACAAAGTTCCCAAAGAAAATTGATTCCCCACAAAAATACTTTTGACTTGGTCACACACTCTTCCAGATTCATCTCCTGCAATGCTCTCACATTGAGCACCCCGACCTCTGAGCTAAACCTCCAACACCAGAGAGATGCTGTTAATTAAGAATCTACTGTGAACATAATCTGGGTACCTGATTACATCAACAGCAACTCCATCAAAATGTCTATTTTTTAATGAGCTAATAGGCATAGACAGCTGAAATCACTTGCACAAAGAAAAATCTAGTTCTGATTTAAGTAATCTGACTACCGGTCATGCTTTCTTGTATGTCTAACTGCTCTCATTTGGAACTTCTCAAACGCCATACACTGTTTCCTAAATATTTCCCCTATTTTTTTACCTGCTACACCCCTGTTCATTCCCTATACTTCCTTCAAAATTTTAGTCATTTTTCCAGGGTCTAGAGAGATAGTCCATCAGGTAAGGCACTTGTCTTGCACACAGTCAACTCAGCACTCCACATGGTCTCCTGACCCACCAGGAGTGATCCTTGAGCCTAGAGCCAAGAGTTCATCCCTGAGCACTGCTGAATGTGGTCACAAAACAAAACAAAAAAAAATCAAGAAGCTTAGTCATTTTTCCAGACTTGTCTCTGCAACACGTTATTCAAGAAGCTTCTCTAACCTCTCCAGAAGTTACAGTTTTCTTGTGTGCTACAGTATGTTAGTTCTGGTGCCCTTCACTGTACAATCAGTGCTATCCGGAGCTTGCTTGCCCTCTATTTTCTCCAAGTTCCAAACTATGAACCCCTGAAGGAGGGATTTTTTTAATATTTCTCTTTGGAAAATAAGAGCTCACAACAGATGGTCAATTTTAAGATTAAAATGCAAGTGCACATGTATATGCCCACGCATGCATGTTCACACACACATACACACACACGTACACACACCACATTATCTAAAACATTATACTATCTATACAGTTCTGACTCATAGGTTTAGTTGTGCTAAGACCGAAAAATCAGAGGCTAGCAGGCACATGGGTCGTGAAAGAAATACTTAATGATATCAAACTAAAAAGAAACACTAATAGCCTCCCAAATTTCTAGACACTCCTCTAAAGCAAGTCTCTTATGCCTAACCTAAATAACAATTGCCAGGAGTCACATAGTTGGAAAATTACTCAAATTTCAGCCTAATTTTCCACACCCTCACTGCTTTCAGAATGGGAAATGTAGAAGCACTTCTAGTTAGTGTCGGGATCAGCTGTGCATAGGGGTGCTGAGGCAGAGAGTGTGAAAATCCATGAATATGCCTATAAGCAAGAGTCAAAAAGTAAAGTATGGGCACTGGAAAGATAATACAGTGAATAAGGAACTTGCTCTCTCCCTGGAGACAAAGCTAGCTAGTAAGAATCCCCGGCACAATATATAATTTTCCTGAATACCACCAGGGGTCACTCCTGAGCACAGAGCCAGAATAGCACTTGCACAAGGCCCTGTGTGACTCAAAAATCACCTAGAAAGAAAAAAAAAAGAAATTAAGGATGAAGACACCACATGGGAATACCACCAAAGTCCATGAGGATCTGAACATAGATCAAGGGCATCATGTGAAAAGTACACACATGAGAGAGGTGGTTTCTCTCCTCAAACTGTCTCATTCATTACTTTGTCATACAAGTGGTTGCACCTTTCTCTCAATATGAAGGAAAGAGGTAATTCTCGTAGATCATGCAGACACTGTGTTCAAAAGTACTGCATCCCTCAACCAACCCAACCCATTTTTATAGCATGAACATCTAATTATCTCTCAAAGCACTGTTTGTATTTTGGTGTGTTCTTGTTCATCATCTAAATGTCATCTGAGAAACGTTCTGTGCCCAAAAGAAGTCTCTCAGTTACTCTGTTTGCAACCAAATCCTGAAGGACACTCCAATGGTTAACAGTATAAAAACAAAGCCTCGGGCTACTACATCAAGGACCAAAGGAAACTATAGAGTTGCATTTGGGTCATATCATAAGAAAAGCAGCTCTTTGAAGAATGTGAAGCTAAAGAACAGCGGTGGGGTTGGCTGTCTACTCTCCTGTCCTCACAGACATCCCTTGGGTAGAGTGAGGACGCTTTTCTGACATTTGTTTAGTAAATGCTATTTATTCATTTGGCCATACTCCATATAATAAAAATATTTAACAAGTGCCAGGTTTTGAGGTTCTGGGATAAATAAAAAATAATACCTATGAGAATATAATAAATAATAGTTCTTAATATATATTAGGAACTGACAATAATGCAAATATAGTGTTGTAAAACATGTTTTGGAAAAAATATTTTTACAAGCTACCCGTGACGTATTCGATATGACAAACACAGTAACAACAAGTCTCATGATGGAGACGTTACTGGGCCCGCTCGAGCAAATCGATGAACAACGGGAGGACCATGACCGTGACAGAAGAAGAGGAAAACAAAAGTGGAGAAGCAATATATGAAGACGTGCTAGCCACGAATGCAATAAAACTTATCCAAAAATTGTATACTAGGTGCTGAAATTCTAAACTAAATCTCTCAATGCCTTCAATATCCTTGTGTCATTCTTAGGCCACTTAATCTCTGAATTATAACAGCAAATATACAATCTTCCCAACTTTACCAACTTGCCATTCATCCTACAATTTTATTTTTTGGAGAGCCTGGCAAGCTACCGAGAGTATCTCGCCCGCACGGCAGAGCCTGGCAAGCTCCCCGTGACGTATTCGATATGCCAAACACAGTAACAACAAAGTCTCCAATGGAGACGTTACTGGGCCCACTCGAGCAAATCGATGATCAACGGGAGGGCCTTTACCTTTACCTTTACCTATTCTTCAGAAAATGCTGGATAAAGCCAGAATTACCATTTGATTTTGTGAAGTATCAAATGTGCAAGAACAAAAAGTCCTATCATGGGGTAGATGCCTAAAATACACCAAATTCACTGCTGGTAAATAGAGAGTTGCTGAATACACAAGCAGAAATCACGCTTACTTTGACAGCACCACATCCTAATATATGAACAGTGACTAAGAACTGTAGGTGACAGTGAGATGGTAAGGGTAGAGGTTCCACCTTTCTGGGACTCAGGTATGAAGAGCATAAAGACTTAACCAAGAGGCAGAACGAAAACGTTGAAATGGTACAAAAATCAGTGTCTCTCTTCAGAGAGACAGAATACCAGAAAGGACCAGAGTGGTAACAATGGGGTGCCGTAAACAGAACCCTTACCTTTGTGAACTGTGCGGCCACCACAATAACTGCTATGCAGATGACCACCAGCAGTGCGGCCAAGACTCCGAGAAATGGCATCTGGAACACAGTGCTGTGCTTAGCCACTGAAAGAAGAGCAAACAGGTAAGTTCACCCTGCAGAGAACTGGCTCAAGTATCGAGGTGAACAGTGGTCTTTCAGAAATCACGAAGTCGCACACACACACACTTGGAAATGATTGTACACTGACACCTTTGCACACATGTTGCTTTTGCTTCTAATCAGCCTTTTATAAACTCTGGGGCTAATTCTAATTTGCATGACTGATACTCCCCCTCTAAAAGTTCTTATGGGTAAATGTTTGCTATGAAGCACACCAGTTTCAGTGTCACTGGAAAAGTTCCAGGTGATGTGTGTGTGCACCAGCGGTAAGAGGCCATGCTCTGTCAACGTTCTGCATCTCCTCCCTCAGAGCAAGAGGATTATCAGCCACTTTACTCCAGAGAGCATACCTGAGTTCTGTAGGACCTCCAGAAAGAGTCTCCCTTTGTATATCCCATCAGGGTAGGTGTGAAAAGTGCAGAAGTATTCCCCTGTGTCGTTCTTGGTCAGCGACTGGAGGGTGATGTCCAGGTTGGGGCCTGGGCTCACTCGGTCCCTGAAGTTGGAGGGGATGTGCCACCCCAGATTAGCGTGATGAACTGCCAGGAATTGGTCCTGCTGCAACCAGTGGATCTGAGTCACATTGGCATTGGTGTGTGATAAGTGGCAATGGAAGGTGACAGAACCACCTTCTTCTGCAGAAATGTTTCCCGCTGTTAATATTCTTCCTGTCATATCTCCTGGGGAAGGGAAAAGGCAGGCATGAGTCTTGCGCCAATAATGATCTTGAACCTTCCCCTCAAGGCACTGAGACTGGAGCTGGTTTTTAAATAATAGTTTATGCAATCATTCCATTCCCTCCCTCCATATAGACTACAACACCATTTCACATAGCTATTCTTCTCTTTGTATAAAGGGCTGAAATAGAGCTTCACCATTACTTCGCAAGCAAACGTTATCTCCTTGCCAAGAACATAGGACTTTTTTCTGACAAGTCAATATAATGTATTTTATTGTATTTTTTTCAGCAGCCTGCTTTCTGTGAGTGTACATTATCCTTTCCTTTGAAATGAAAACTGGAGGTTTAGTTAACAACCATTTTTGTTTCTTGGGGGAACTCTTCAAGAAAAGCAAGACCTCCAAAGAAAACTTGACTTGGAGAGAAATACTTTCTTGCTGGCAAAACCACCCTTCTGGGCATTTACAGCCCCTTCACACTCAGAGAAATTTCTAGCCCCAGCCGGTTCAGAAAGCAACATCAAAGAGCCTCATTTTATAGTTCTTAGCTATTTGCACCACCTCAGATAATTGAGTCTGATTCTTAACATGACAGACAATAGACATAGTATCAATTCCATCTATAATGGTAGAAGCTCTGGAATCTGTGAAGAAAGGAAGAGGAGGAATGAACTTCAAGACAACTTCTGAGTCCTTTTTTTTATTGCCTTTCTTTCCCTGGGACTTTATTGGAGTCAGGAAAGCATTCCCAGCCTCATTCTTTTATCTGCTACCTCCAAAGAACTGTGAGTTCTCAACAGCTTTCTCTCAGACAGACACAGGATTCGGAGAACTTTATTTCCTTCCCTTGGATAGAGTTGGTGTTTGCACCCAGCCACCTCTACCTGTGTCCTTCTGCCACCCCCTGGCCTCCCTCCCACTCCAGCTCCAGGCTGGACTTGCAGGACTTACCGATGGCAGCTCCAGAAGCCTGTCTCAGTGCCAGCGCCCAGAGCAAGAAGGAAAAACGGTGCATGCTTCTGCCCAGGGATGCTATAAGAGGTTTCTGTGACCTCTTCTGCCGCTGAAACTGCCGGATTGCAGGTGGCAAGGTGAAACTGAATCTATGAGCATAGAGGGTCTCGGAAAAAACAAGTTCAGCAAAAACACAGTCAGATAAAGCTCTCAACAAGTACACAAACTGCACAAGGCAAGCCACAAAAAAAGAACCATTACGGTGACACATTAAAAAAATAAACAAAATTGTGGTTAGAGGTATTCTGGTATTGAGAGTATTATTAGCCAATCAACTGCTTTTAAATTCCATTCTTATATACTTTTTTTTAAAAAAATCATCTTTTATCTGATAAACTCCAGGGCATCTGTGTGATGCCCCAACGTCTTGTTACCAGTGTGGTTCACTGGGTTCCGTGACTTCATCCTGCTGATGAATATGAGAGAAACTTTAAGGTTTTCAGACCTCAACGGTCAGGAACATTTGACTGGAAATCCAAAGAGACAGTAACCAAGAGACTTTGACATCAGAGTTTAAAAACTGGAAGTGGGGGGGACAAAAATTGGGGACAAACAGCACTTAACCCAAACCTTTCCCTGAATGGGGTCCTCTCCTTTCTTATATCTCCTTTCTCTGAACCAAAACTTGTTTGAATTCTGACTTAGTCTTTCTAATCTGGTCTAATCAGTGATGAGAAGAATGCTTTCTTGTGTGGGGTAGGGGGCACCCCGTGAAAATTAGAAATACAGGGGACAGTGGACCTCAATGACCTGGCCTTGGAAAATGAATTGGGTAGTTCCTCAACTTATTATCAGCTCTGACTATCTGATGTCCCTGCCTCCTGCCCTCCATCTTTCCATTCGCCTGAAAGTCTGAGTCAGGCTCTGGAGACGTGAGATTGAAAGTTGGAGCCCCATCCCAAAAGATAATTTCCAGTCAAGACTTGCTTTCTGGGGGCCCAAGTGACAGTACAGCCAGTAGGGCTCTTGCCTTGTGTACAGCCAACCCAGGTTTGATCCCCAGCACCCCATAGGGTCCCCAAGCACTACTTGGAGTTATCCCTGAGTGTAGAGTAGCCAGGAGTAACCCCTGAGCATCACTGGGAGTGACTATCACCCATTCTCTAGGAAGCTCCATTGGGAAGAGAACATGGAAAGTCTATAACACCTGCGGGGCCGGCCCGGCTCCCATGGACATGCATCAGGGTGTGATCCTCAAAATCTGCTGCGCTCCCAGGAAGAACTTCCAGAGCCTGACCCATATCTAGAAATCATTGAAAGTTTTTAAAAGGATCTACCTTATGTTTTTCTCCCCTTACTCAAGAGTTGTGGATAGGGCTGGTCTGGTTGGCCATGATGCAGATGTGTGGGTGCAGCGCTGGGGAAGGGAATCAGTTGGCAGGTAGAGGGTTGGTGGGATGCTAGGATACAGTGAAAAATCTTCCCAAAGACCCTCAAGTTATTTCTTAACACCGCCTCCTCCTGCTCCTCCCAGCCTAACTGAGCCTGCTCCATCAGGTGCAGCTGAAAACCAGAGGCCGGGAGTGGTTCACAGCTCTTGTGTAGAAGGTAAAGGGCGGCCACTTTCCACAGGACAACCAAAGTTTCTCTCAGGACACAGACCACTCACTCAGCAGAGTCTTTGAACTCCCACCTCCTCAACATCTTCCCTCTGGCTCCAAAGGGTGGGGGGGGAGTGATTCCAGGTTAATCACAACAGTCCCAAGCAATCTCCTTGCTGCTGATCAGGGCAATCAGCCTATAGTTGCAGAGGCCATGACCTTCTCACTGAAGAACTCCCACACCCTGACTAGCATATCCTACTTGTGGGCTGTGTTGTGAATGGGCTGAGTGCAGGAGACACCACCCACACTTCACTCCGCTTCTTGAAGGCCCACACACAGAGAGCTGAGTAAGCCGAGTCAGGAAGCAAGGGGAAGGAAGGGACACAGTGCCTCAAGCACCTGGAAGAATCTGTCCTGGGCTCCTCACCCCTGTCTGCCATTTTTTCTATAGCAACGCTACTTCATCATGGAACATCTGAGCTACGGTGGGGATGTTCCAAGGCCCCTGGTGGAAAGAGAAAATCAAAGAAATGTCTATGACCTTTAGGTTTTAATACTACGAATCATAGGGCATGTTGCTAAAACTAGTTCTTGATATGTACAAACAGTGAGAATTTGGAGACGTTATTACTTACTCTATAAATCCACGTTTCCTCAGATGAGGGAACGTGGAGGACCTCCCCACAAAGGCTACCAAGAAATTCAGTGAACAATGGGAAATTCCCTCTGCCTTTCCAGCTATGTTTAAGGGACTCTCTCAAGGAGACATTAGAACACAAAATCAGAAGAAATTGTTTTTTGTTTTTGTTTTCTTGCTCTTGCTTTTGTTTGATGGGCGACACATCTGAGGTGCTGGGGAGGTCATAGGTGGTGCCTACATTGACAGGAGACAACTACATGCAATGCATGTTCCGTACTATGTTATCTCTCTGGCCCTGATGAAAAGACTTTGTGAAGAAGCGAACAATCTCTCCTAAGCTGAGCCTCTCAACACGGTTTTCCCACCCATCAATATCATTCCCCTCTCTATCTCTCCAATTCTACGTGTGACTATTCATCAATCTATCCTATAACATCACTTACCTTGGGAAATATTCTCTACCCATGGTACATTGCTTCTACTTCCCCTTACTTGATACCTTCAGGATTCACAGTGAGGATCAGTGTAGAACTGCAACACTGTCAAAGAAACTCTCAGTCATTCCAGCTCTCCTTCCCCAAGAAAAAGAATGCTAGGCAGAATGTTTCACAAGGGAACTATAACAAAGATTTAGAGAACAGATTATTTCAACGTTACTTAAAATGTACACGCAGAACATAAAGGAAAAATCCCAAATTAGTTTTATGAAGTAAATCTTAAAGGGACATAAAATGAGTAAGACTGCATCCAAAGAAAAGCAGATCCCAATCTCACTAACACATTGAGGAAAATATTCTAAATAAAACACTGTCTTATATACTTAATAGCATAAGATTATATAGTGTTTATGCCCAGGTCACAGGGTGATTCAATATTAGAAATTTATTATTAAAATACTAGATATATATAAGAAAAGCTTATTCTACTTTCCTTTGACACTGAAAAGAAATAGGACAAAATTCAGTCTCTATGACTGATGTACTAAAAATACTCACTAAAATAAAAATTAATGAATTCTCTCCTAACTCGTGTTTACATACACACGAGCACATAAGCACAGGCACACACATAAACACACGCATAGTCACTGTCACTTCAGCCCCACTTCACTTCAGTCCTCTTTTGAGGACAAAACACTAGAGAGTCCCAGCAAAGTCAGGACTAAGATAAGGATACCCGCTGTTTCAAGAACTAGTTCACTTATCAGAAGAAACAACTCAATTAAATTGAGACACTACGGGGGCTGGGGCGATAGCACAGTGGGTAGGGCATTTGCCTTGCACATGGTCAACCCGGGTTCGATTCCCAGCATCCCATGTGGTCCCCTGAGCACCACCAGGGGTAATCCCTGAGTGCAGAGCCAGGAATAATCCCTGTGCATCGCTGGGTGTGACCCAAAAAGCAAAAAAAAAAAAAAAATGAAAAGCTACTAGAGATGGTGGCTGCAGCATCTCTGGCCCAAGCACCCGAAAGTCAGGACTTGCATCTCAGGGACCAGGTGAAAATAGCTCCCAGGCCCTTGAGCACTACTGAGAAGGTACCTATTTTCCCCCTAAGTACAATTTTGTTCCACTTCACCCAGTCAAACAGCCAAAAATAAAATATGTTCACAAGATAATCTATCAGGGATGCAGCAGAGGGGAAAAAAAAGACATCAGACATTGCTATTAGAACTATAACTCTTTTAGAGGAGGATCCAGATCATAGCTGTATTTACTATTTGAACAAAGAAAACACTTCTAGAAGTCTAAGAGCATAAATACACAAATAGGAAATGATTTATTCACAAAGTTGTCATTGAGGCATATTATGTATTAGTGCAAAAACATGAAGCAGAGGGGCCAGAGTGATAGTACAGCAGGTAGGGTGTTTGCCTTGCACGTGGCCAACCCGGGTTCGATCCCTGGTATCCCACATGGTCCCCCAAACACCGCCAGGAGTAATTCCTGAGTGCACAGCCACGACTTAACCCCTGAGCATTGCTGGGTGGGACCCCCCCCCCAAAAAAGTGAAGCAGATATTAACGAGCACACATCACAGCTTCACAGTTCCTGAACTTCTACCTGCTGCTCCACCCTGCCAGGTGAGATCAATCTCCGACTGGCCCTACCTCGGAGTGGGAGGCAGAACCCCTTCCTTCTCGCTAGGTTGCGAGTGGGAGGCAGAACCTCTTCCTTCTCGCTAGGTTGCAGCAGCCTCCACACCCAGTCTCTGCCGAATTAACGGACCTACACCGTGGTTCCTGAAGCATGCAACTGTGTATATGACTTAGCAAATTACAGACTGCTCGCAGTTGTACTTCCTGTCCTTTAATGAAGATAGGCAGAGAGGCGAAAGAGCAACCCCAAGCCTAATTCTTCAGTCTTCCAGGGTGTCTAACTGCAAAGACTCACTCCAGCACAACAGGAACACTAGAACACCAATGGGGATAAACAGAGAAACCTATCACAGTCAACAAGTGAGGCCAAAAACACGGATAGCACAAACCACACCAAACATCTCTCTAGGTCCTCAGAAAATTATTTTAGTGACACCACGGTGAGGATTTTTAGTGAGCTCAAAGGAACAATGGTACAGATAGCCAGCAAAGCACACGAACGTATGAGAGCTGAAACAAGAAAACTACAATTAGAAAGTGGCAGAAATGAATAGGATGGTTGGTGATATTTAAAAAAAAATCATTAGAAACCCTCAGATGCAGAATAACAACAGTTGAAGGAAAGATTGAGAAGTTTCAAGATAAAATGAAGGAAACCTCTTGAAAGCAACAGATGATAGAAAAAAAAAGTCTGAAAAGAAATGACTGGCACACCAGAGGGCTGTGGCGGAAGCTCAAGAGGAAGAGTATAAGAAACATTGAGGTAAAAAAAAGAAACATTGAGGTCTTTGAGGACCAGGAAAATGAATTTGATGAAGCACCAGTAGTTAAAGAAATCACAGTTAAGAATTTCCCAAAGTTTTAGAATATAGGTGACCAAATGC